TATCTATCTATCTATCTATCTATCTATCTATCTATCTATCTATCTATCTATCTATCTATCTATCTATCTATCTTCTATCTATCTATCATCTATCTGATTTATATCCTGCATTTATTATATAGAAATAACTCAAGGCGGCAAACATAACCAACTTCCATTGTCCCCACAATGGCAGCCCCTTGTGGGTTGAGCTGAAAGAGAGTGACTGGCTAGCTTAGCACCTCTGTTTCCCAGAAGGCACAGAAGGGGTTTTGGCTCTGTGCCAACCTCTGCACCACCAAAATACCTTTATTTTGGTTTTATTTCATATTCTTTTCAACAAAGCCCTGGGCCATAGACTTTGGGCCCTAGACAGGCAGACAGCAAGATGGGATAGAGAGAGGGGGAGAGGCTTGGCAAAAATTGAATACTAATTACACAATTCTAGAAAAGTAGATTCTGAATCAGGGTGGGGTTCAAATTTTTTTACTACCAATTCTGTGGGCATGTCTTGGGGGTGTGGCATGGTTTAGTGGGTGTGGTTTGGTGGGCATGGCAAGGCAAAATCCCATTCCCTCCCGATCAGTTGGGACTCGGGAGGCAGAGAATAGATGGGTCGGGGGCAGTGGTAATTACCAGTTCTCTGAACTACTCATAATTTCTCCTACTGGTTCTCCAAAACTGGTCAGAACCTGCTGAATACCACCTCTGGACTGAATGTTATTAAAACTCTAACAGTAAGAATAGTTAGAGTTAGAGTCAGTGATCAGGGAAGTGATAGGCTCTTCTCTAGAAAGAAAGCAAATATATGTGTCCCAGGATAATGTTGCAGGAATCCAATTTGGGTTGGTTGGTTACCAGAACCAGAGGTTTTGTCTTCCAAGCTTTTGGACTCATGCTGGAGCCCATCCTCAGGAGCTTTCTCTCTCATCAGTGTGTGAACGAGAAGTTCCCTGAGGATGGGCTCCAGCATGAAAGCTTAAAAGATTAGCAATTAGACATATACTGTTTTATAGTGCTTTACAGTCCTCTCTAAGCAGTTTACAGAGTCAAGAATCTGGGTCCTCATTTTACCCATCCCGGAAGGATGGAAGGCTGAGTCAACTTTGAGCTTAGTGAGATTTGAACTGCCAAATTGCAGGCAGCAGAAGTAGCCTGAAGTACTGCACTCTAGCCACTGTTCCACCTTGACTAAACCTCTAGTCTTGGTAACTGACCCAGACTGGATCCTGCAGGCCAGGGGTGGGTTCCTGCCAGTTCTAACCTCTTCTATAGAAGAGGTTCCACAAAACTACAGTGCCGTTTAGAATCGGTTCCAGCTACCTCCCCCCGCCCATCCGCATATCATCAAGATGAAGAGCAAGAGGAGGAATTCTGGGAGTTGAAGTCCACAAGTCTTAAAAGCTGTCAAGTTTGAACAACCCTGGGGATTTTTTCTAAAGGGTTAGGGGTGCAAGGGTCTTGAAAATTAACAGCTTTAAGACTTGCACACTTCAATGCCAGAGTTCCTGAGACAACATGACTGGAGGAGGAATTCTGGGAGTTGAAGTCCACAAGTCTTAAAGC